CTCTTGATCTATTCAAGAAATATAGGTCCAAAATTAATCCAGCAATGTATTTACATTAAAAGTGACTTAAAGTGTTTTCAGGAAACATTCCAAATCGTTTCAACTATGCAGTCACAGTTTCAGTGATTATAAAGGTCATTAATCTGGGTATAGAATAGGTGAATGGCTTTCCAAGTAGTGAGCACAGAATAAATTTATTTTTGCATCCTCTCTTCATTGTTAATATCATGTCAATCAGTCAAAAAAAAAAAATAAATAAATAAATAAATAAATAAATAAAATAAAATGAAAATAAAAATCCAAAATCAGTCATCAACAGATTCATTATTATTTTATTTCAATAATAATGTGCTAATTGACAGTCATTTCAGTGAAATAAAAATCTATTGTGCTGTGAATTTTAAAATTTTACATCAGGTGTTTTGTGAATTTAAAAAAAAATTAATTTGTGCCACTAGTAATATTGTATAGAAATTGCTAATCATTATTATTATATTGAAAATCTGAATACATAATGCTAATTCTTCGTACATTAGATTAAAAGTGTATCATTGTTTTATGAAAGTGATGGATTAAAAATTATATTATGATAATATAAATTCAAATTTTCCTAATTTGGTTTAACAAATTAAAGAAGTTTTTATTTAGGGATAGTTATTAAAGTGATTAATATATTTTTGCATTTTTATTTAAATATCTTAAATTAATATTGAATTTTTTAAATTATTTCAACACTGAGATTATTGTTTAAAAATTTGAATTCTAAAAAGTTCAATTATTTAAAGAATGAAGTGAATAATAACTCTGAAGGCTTCCAGCTTATATTTTTTCATATATAATAATTATGTTTATAATGACATGAAATTTAAATATTTTTTAAATATAGGTGGAATGTATAAATATAAAATGGAATACTTTCAGTTCATTTCCTTTTTATCTGAAAGTGTTTTCTTTAAATTATTATTGTGCTGTGAGGTAAAATTATGTTTACTAAATTTCTAAGATGTAGCTTGATTATACAGGTTATTTGCCTTGAATATTAATTTTTTTTTATTACAAGTACATACTCTAAAGAATTGTATGGCATAAGAAGTAAAATCAAACTTTGATTTTTCTTTATATACATTATAAAAGCTAGTTAGTTACCTTGTGTAAAGGAATGAAGGTTTTTATTTTGATTGTATTTAAGCATCCCAAAGCCACCAGCAAGTTGTTATGCTAATTTGCTTATAGAGGACCTGTCCATCAAAATTTACTATTTAAGAACATGTGATTTTGTTTCACAATGCATAAATAAGTACTAATATTGTTAGAATTTCATCAATGTATAAATGAAATATTTTAATTTTATATTGATTATAACACTTAGTTTTCGTGAAAGGCTAACAAACTTTTAAAATTTATTATGTGATCTTCAAGCTACATTTCGCCAAGAACTTTCAAATTGGACTCTAAGTTTTATTTATGGAGGGATATTTTATTAGTATTTGTAAATTACATCTTTAAGCCATTTATTTGTTTTCTGATTGAAAATTGTAAATATTGTACAAAATTTCCCTTCCTTTGTTAACACTGTAATGCTTTTTTCTGAAAAGGCTTTTCTGTTGCTAAGCCTTTTTCTCCTTGAAGGCGAGAGTAATATATAAGGTATAAAAATGTGATGTAAATTTATTAACAAAATAAACTTAAATAGAACCAATTTGAAATAGATTATTCAAATTTATAAATTTTAGTTAAACCTGCTTCAAAGGATACACTTTACTGTGTCACACTGTAACTTGTTACGTCACTCTTTCAATGCACTGCAAAATCTTTAGCCCAATTACTGCTCAGAATTGACACAAAGACATTCTGACCATAAATATGATCACAGTGAGTGAGTAAACATTGTAAAAGCATTAGGTTATTTCGAAGCAGGAGGGATGAAAAATGAGCAATGCCCTTGCTGGGATTTGAACCACGTACCTCTTGAATATGCGCTGAGTATGCTGACCATTATACCACAAAGGCATGCTAAGGAAGTGGGGGAAAATACCTTATATACTCCCCCTTTTAAAAGGCGACTGGGGATTAAGGGATCCGGTTGCCAAATCCTGGTGGTGGAGAATTATCATCCACCAACTTTTTTAGTTTGAGCGCCACTGTAGAGCCAGTAGGTTAATTCGAAGCAGGAGAGAGAAAAAATTAGCAATGCTGGGACTTGAACCATGGACCTCTCAAATATGCGCCGAGTGTGCTGAACAGTACACCACGAAGGCATGATAAGAAGGTGAGAGACATACTTTCTAACATAAGCTTATCCAATGCTGCTTGAGTAAACCACATTTCTTGCTTCACCTTCCTTCTCTATTGTTTAAAATGTAAAGTTTGTAAATAGAAATGATGGGGTGTCTTTAGTAACCCTAGTTTGTACTAGTTTTAAGCAAAAATGTATTTTTGAATAAAAAGTCTCGCCTGTGCAAAATAAAAATATGGTTTCACCATCAAGCCACTTGTTATTGTCGCACCAGTTGTCATCTATACGACAGTTCTATCAGTCATAACAAAGGGTTGAATTGGTTTTCATCTTCTGCAAAAACTATGGCTCATATATATCTATGCATATACAAATTCAATAAAGATATAGAGAAAATCAAGGAAATTATCTCCTAGGAAATTTAAAGTGAAATTTGGAATGCAAAATTATTTTGTGATAAAAATTGGCATTTAAGGATACATTTTATAAAGCTAATGTGCACTATTATGGAAGTTATAATTAATAAAGGTACAGCTATGTCAATTAAAATGTGAAATAGATGAATAAAACAGAAATACTAGCTGATTGCAGGAAATGTTCGCTACTTATCAAGGGGTTTTGGAATCTCTCCGTACAACCGTCATGTGTACGGAAATTCATAAAAAGTGTGGGGGGATGTGTATGTGTGTGTATACATATATACAGATACACACCTAAAAATATAGGAATATCTTTTAAAAAATTTATTTAGAAATTATCTGTATAAATAGTATTCCCAAAAGGGATAGAACTGCCTAAAATAAATTTTGTGCAAAATATATAAACTTTATATATGAATGGGAAATAGCCTATGCCTGACTGTACTGCCTCATTTTTTGTTGTGTCATTTATAAATTGTTTTGGAAGGTTAAAGCAGTGTTTTAATTGCTTAGAAGACATGCGTTTTCATGTCTTTTGTTTTCATATATTTATACTGATTTGTTAGTTTCCTAGGTATTATAATGTATTTTAGAAGAATTATTTTTATTCTTGTGAATGGTTTAACAAAAATAAAGATGATAGGTTAGCTTTTAAAGTCTGAAGTATTTTTTTAAACTATGTTTATATATATATATTTAAGAATCATTAATAAATCAATTTATGTACTGTTTCAGGTGATATAATGTTTTAAAATATTAAATAATACCATTGTTTTTAAATGAATTTATTTGGTAGATTCTTTTTTCTTTTTATATTTATTTTCTCATAACTTCACTTGTTTATTCACATGATATTTACGTACGGTTGAAAACCGAATCTGGAGAATGTCGACTCACATAGTCTCTTGGCGTATGTCCGAAATATTTTCCAAATACTTATTTCGACTTACACCAGTCAATGTGACATTCCCCCATGTACTAATGGTGAATGTTGAACATATAACAATATATATTTTCTTCTCGTAATTCAGTGCGAATAAACGCACTTGGACTTGAAATAAGAATTTAAGAACATGAGAACAAAAACACACAATACATTCAAAAGAGAAAGGAAATAATAGAAGTAAAACTTAATATACAGTATGTTCTAAATGAGAAAATAAAATAACAGTAATAAAATACTTACTAATTATGTGATTCAAATCTTATTTATTGCAACAACTTAAACTATTATGGCACTTTATGACCTCTCTTTTCGACTTTCACAAGAGCATATCTGTGATTGTTGACATACACCGGTGAGGGTCTGAATATACAAGAATGTAGTGAAATATTCGGTCTTTCACCGACATATTTGGTGAATGGTGATATTCTCCGGTGAAAGTCGACATTCTCCAATTTCGTTCTTTCACAGTAACATTTATATAACACATAATTTGCCAATGTATGTGCCTTTTATTAGAAAAAGTGTTTTTACCTATTTTTCAGAACTCTCCCCAAAAATTTCAAATTTTATTGTTATTGGCTATTTTTATATAAACTAGCTTTTCTTCTGTATATTTGTTTTCAGAGAAATGTACTTTTACAAATTGTTGTTACAAATATCTATGTCTATATATAAATATTGTCAGTGAAATCATATGTGAAATCATTTTATCTTTTGTACAGTGCAACATAAAAGCTGTGAAGCTCTGCTGGAAAAATAACATTACAAGGGCAAATCTATTGAGACATCGCCAAGCTAGTGATAGTGTTGGCAACTAATTTTATAGTGATAAATCGCCAAAAGTCGCAAAATTGGTGACTTTGGTCTAGTTCCTGTATTGGTTTTGAACAACTAACTAGTAATTAGTGTAATAATAATTAGTAATTGAATAACTAGTTAATAAACCAGTAATTGGTTCTGATGTTGAATAACTATAATTGATCCCTGTATATAACTGTAACCATATCCAGCCCAGATTTTCCGGTGCCTAGGGAAAAACTATATAAGATTGAAGTGAGCATCAGTTCTCAGTTTTAGGTCAGAGTTGAATACACAGTGTTCAGAGGTCTCTGTGCGAGCTTTGCTCTTTAGTTGTGTTTAACTTTCTTAGTTGTCTGATATGGCAACTACTGATTGTGGTCTGTAATATTGAGAAGAGCTGTATGAGTACTTTTGTGGAATTGTAAAGTGTTTCTTTTTGGAAAATAAATTTTATCATGCTATCATTGGTTCTGTGTGCATTCAATCCATTACAAAGCCATATGCACATAGCAATATTGAGAAAGTAATTTTTAAAACTGTTTTAAAGAATAAAAACTTTAAAAAATATATATTTTATTTATTTAAATTTTTTTTTTAGTTGGATATGCATGCTGTCAGAGAACGTTACACACGTCTACAAGAAATACCTTTCAGTTCTGAGCAGAAGTTCATGGCTGTTAAGTGCCTTCCAAAATTTGGGCTTGTAAGTAAATTTTTATCATCTCCAAGTTTAACATACAACTTTGAAGTCTCAAATCTTGACATTTATTTTTGTGCTGTTATTAAAACCCCTTAAGGCACACATTAATTTCTAATTTTCGGCCAAAAAATCACCTATTTTTTTTTCTTGCATAATCATGCCAGGGTTAGCTTCAAATCGAAATCTCGGTGGTGCAATGTTGGTGATTTATACTAATTTGATACCAATTCCTTGCTATATCCAAATCTCGTTGTCATATCTTCCGATTCACTTCCATCACTCAAGAAATCATCACTCTCATCGCTGAAACTGTCTGAAATGGCATATTCAAAATTGTCATCGTCAAGTCTCATATCAGATAACTTTTTTAAATTACAAAAAACACTTAGTATATAATTTGCAGTTAACTGCTACTTTTATTTACGTAATAAAAATGGATATATACCTTTTCCACACCAAACGACTACTTATAGCAAAGAATCCTAGCAAACTTATAGCTAATCATCAAAATGCACCACGTGATTTACACAAGAAAAATGCTGATAGTGGTGCCATCTGTGTCAAAGAAGTTTAATTAAATCTAGCCTATTTTTTACTGGAACGGATCTCAGACAGCATAGAAATAAAATAAGGAGATACAAGGGCGCCCGTGTGAGACACGGGCATGTGCAAATTTGCCGGAAACTTTCGCCCGTGTGAGACACGGGCAAATGCGTTAAGGGGTTAAAAGTGAGTCTCATAAATTTAAATATATTTTCTTACACTGAAAAGAAATTTTTTGAGTGCAGTGTTCTGATTGCCATGCATGTTGCTGCTAATGATATATATCTGTGTGTACTGTGTAATTTTGCCACAGAAAAAATTTATTACTTTATCAGTAGCCCTAAAATGAAGGAAACTAGTACTAATAGTTGCATTAATCTTCCAAAAATGAAGGGGAAGTTAGCTAACTTTGCATTAAAAGCTGAACCAAAATGGTCTAACTTCTGTATCAGATAAGAGAAAGCAAGGCAATTAATCTCTGCAGTATCTCCGAAAGTGGATTCTGTGTGTGTGAAAGAATATGATAAAATTACAGCACAACTCCCAGTTACTGCTGCTAAGATACAGTGTTTCTAATTTGAGAGTGACTAAAGATTTTGATAACCATGAAGAATGTGTTATATTTTGTTCTTCAATTTAATTTTATAATAATTGTTCAACCATGTTTGATTTCATCCACAGTATAATCTTTTCATGGCTGTTGGCTTTGAAAGTAAGTGGTATTTCTAAGAATGTAATCGAATAACTATATTAAATACTTTTAATAGACATTTTCTCTTAAGGTGAGTGGTTCTCAATATTGTTTGCCCCATGTACTCCTTTTACCATTGCTAGATATTATTCCCCCCCCTTTCCAAAACTGAAAAATTGCATGTACATTCATTTAAATTTCAATTATTTAATAATGTAGTTTATAAATTAAACAAGGAAAAGTACAGAAAGTATTGATAATTTCCAAAACTTAATATAAAAGTAATTTTTTATATTCATAAACTGAAATTAAATACTTTAGAACCCTTGTCATAAAATAGTGAACAGTATTTCTAAGAGCATAATTTAATGACTGTATTGAATATCTCTAATAAAATTGTCTGATGTCTTGAGTGGTTGTCTTAGCGAGGTTTTTAACTGTATAAGCAAAATTAAGGTGGTAGTTTCGTAGTTCTGTACTTTTTTTTAATAAAATTGGTATTTTATATTTGTTATAGGGTACAGAAAAGTACTTTGTTAAAGGAGCATTGGAAATAGTTTTACCAAAATGTACAAAATATAGTTACCATGGATCACCTGTATTGTTGTCAAAAGAAACTTCTGCACAGTTCATGAAAGAAGCACACTACATGGGACGAAAAGGATTAAGAGGTATTTTAGAGAACTTTAAAGTGTAGCATAATCAAAATGTCATAATCAAAATTTGAATATATATATATTAATTATTTTGTATTACATGTATTAAATGTGATAATTCTTTCTCTTTTTTGGGGGAGGGGGGATCATGCAGTGCTACAGTACATGAGCTGGATTTTTATATTAAAATTAGTATAGCAGGCTTCATAAATATATTCTTTTTCAGTATATGTGTCAAATTTAGGAAGAAGTAAAAAACAAATTCATATAGCTTTCCTACTCATTATTTTAAGAGCATTAAACATATATTCTGTTTTGAGTAATGGTATCCACAGCTAATTCATCATATATACATAGAACTAAATTAAATAAGAAAATAATGCAAATTTTTACCTCTTCATTTTTAAGCATTTATGTTAGAATTTTTGTAAATTGACTTGGATCATGCTGCATTCCATTCCCCCTTTAAGTTTTTATCTATTTTTTCCATTGTATTTAACAAGCCTCTTGCAATATAATGTTATTAAAAAAATTGTTCCTACTGAAGAAAAATGGTTTTAAAAATTTTGTTAACCTCTCCCAGGGGATTTGAATATGTCTCACACTTTCACTACTTTAAATGTGTCTGAAGAAATTTCAGTAAATTATTAAGATTTAAAATTTACTCTTTGTTGGAAGTGTAAGACCCTGCTGATTTGTTTTTATGCTCCTTCCTATAAAATTAGCTGTCTGAATGGTCCTAATATATAATGAATTTATCCCTATAGTTCAATTGAAAAGGTTAAATAAAGCTGCATTTTAATGCACTTCCTTTATGTAATCAAAATAATAGAGGCAGCTGGTTAATATTATGTTAATCTTTCTTTAACAGATAAACAGGCTTTATATGATATTGCCACAAAAAGTATCTGCAACATCTTTTCCAAGATTTCCTGCTGTTTCACATTATACATTGAAAACAGATTTGTGAATCTGGTGCTTTACTTTAGCAGCATCTATGAGGGATCTTCTCTAAAGCTTAAGTCTTCAGAGGCTTCTAGGACTCACAGATGTATTCCCTGAGCTGGACTTGGATATTTTTGCTTTGTAGTTCTGAGCATAAACCTTGCTTTGTCAGGACGCATGAATGCCATGAAAAGATGCATGTAATCAGTCAGCATATTCTGATGACAGGAGTATGATCTCACCAGTCCAATGATGAGCTCTTGAGTTGGACCAAAACTTAGTTTCCTCCACTATTCCAGGTCCCTAGTTACCTCAGACAAAATAATCTGTAGAAAAATGAATAAATGACATTTTGTGGCATTTGTATCCTATCATTAATCATATGTTAAGGGAAAAAAGGAGGTGAATTCATCTGATTACACAACTTAAAATTATTCTGCAGAAGTCTAATTTGGATGTTTTTGACATTAAGCCATATTTAGTATCGTATAAGTGTGCTATACAAGTAGATGTCAGCCCTTGTAGCTTAGGATTTGGGGCATGATTCCTATTTTCTGCTTGCTTGTGGTATAGGATAAATAAATCATTCCGCTCTGCAAATAGCAGATTCATCTGCTTTATGCTAATAAGCGTTAGGATTACTACTTCCCTCATTTTTGTATTTTTCTGTGCACTTGGAAAGTCCAAATATTTTCCCATTTTAATTTATAGTTATGTTGCACTCTTTTGAAATAGAAACTTGTAGTCTGTTGGAAGAATACTGTCATCACTGTTTCTGTAACCTTTCTATTGTTGATTGCTCAACTCGCAGTGTTTTTAATATGAATGTTCGTTAAGGTTAGTAAAATAACTTGAAATTTCATATATTTGAAGATTTGAGTGTTGTAAAATATTTGTTTTTCTGTTAAAACAGAATTTTTTGGTTTGTGGTTTTTAACCAAAAAATTGTGTTTTAGCACAAAAAAATATAGTAGTATGTATTGTTACTTATACAGTCAAAAGTCTTTAATCCGGACTCTTCGGGACTTTAGCAATTCCAGATTATCGGTTTTTCCAGATTATAGATCATCAGTTTAAATCTGGTACGATGGCATGCAGAAATTATAAAATTAAAAATATGAAACAAAGAGCAATTATGATCTAAAGGGTATCAAAATTTACACACAAAAAAAGTTTTATACAGTAGAAGTCCGATAATCCGGCACGTTCGGGACCGGCTCGGTGCCGGACTACCGAAAATTCTGGTCTATCGGGCGGTTTAATTATAAGAATTAGGTAATAATTAAACTAAAAAACAGTATGCAAATACATACAACAAAGTTATTTTACATTTCATATAATGTATGTACACGTACTGTAAAAACATATTTCACTTAGATTTAAAAAAGTCACGAATGTTTTTTTTTCTTGACTTTTGGCGTTTGTTAAAATTTATTTCTAATGATATGGAAATCAATTATTTCTGAGCACTGTAGCTAGTACTAGCCTCGCAAAACTATTTAGTGGTTCTGCAGTTCTGCCAGCTGATTTTTTCCTTTTCTTCCGTTCGGCATGAGTCATTTCTTCAAGATTTTGAGTAGGCTGAGGGTTACTACAATGTTGATAATGTCCTCATGGTTAGTTCTGTTCAACGGCTCATTCTCGTCGATTAAAGCCACTCCTCTACCTCATTTCAGGCAGGTTTGTCAAGGGATTGTCAGTACTTCTAACGACATCCAAAACTTGGTCAGAGCGTCTTGATTGTTTTTCCTCGTCAGTCTGTAGAGTTAGTCAATGCAGGTTTGCAGCTGGCCAAAAGTTTTCTCCAGCATTTTTGGAGTGTGTATTTTTTACTGGTTCCAAGACTGTGCAAATAGCATAGACGGCATCTTTTACTGTAAACTTTTTAAAATGAGTCTCACAGTCGGCATTAACAGGCCTTGAATAAAGACTTCTATAAAAGCATTAAAATTTTAATAACCCCTGGTCCAGGGGTGAATCAAAGATGTTACGTTAGGTGGGAGCAGAGTAACAATATTTCAGAAAACTAACTAATCTACTGGCGGATGGGCTTTGCAATTGTCCAAAAGAAGGATGGCTTATCTTCTGGTAGAACCAAGGCTTTTAAAGGATTCCTTGACCTCAGGCACAAAGTGGTGAAAAAAACCAGTCTTTAAAGGGCGGCAGTTATCCACGCATTGATTGACATCGTATTGGACAGGCAAGTGTGTAACATTCTTAAAAGCCCTGGGTATTGCAGATTTACCTATCACAAAAGGGGTCACTCGGTGGTTCCAGACGCATTAGCACATAGCAAAACGGTTAATCTGTCTTTGTTTTTTTTAAAACCCTTGGCTGCTTTTTTTCCTTCCCAGCTAGTGTAGAGTTGGTAACATCGCCACAATAGCTTGTTTCATCAGCATTGTAAATCTGTTCAGGTTGTTAAATCATTATCAGCCACGATTTTTCAAATCTTTTGTATTTTTCTGCAGAGTTTTGGTTTCTGAAAGGGTTTCTCAGTTACATCAAAGTCTTCGATTCCATGCCGAAACTTAAAGTTTCTGAGCCAACCCTCAGAATAATTACATTCACTTTCAGCACTCCAAATCTTGGCCGATTTCTTTGCCTTTTCAACAATCATGGCTTTGTTACCGCTTCCTTCAGAACGTACTACTAAACCATTTGAACAATACACTATCTAGCTGTTCCAGTTTTGGTTTTTTTATGTTGTCTAGAAGCCAATTTTCAGTGTTACCGATTGAGAAGCAAACTTCATAGTTCATCTTTTTGTTTTAATGTCATAAATAGTGATGAGCCAATATTAAACTCATTCATTAAACATTTCTATTATCGCCTTTTAGCCGTTTGAGATTTCTATTTCTGATTGAGAGTCAGTGTTACGGTTTTCGTTTTTCTCCTTTTGAACTCGAAGGCTTAGGTTTGAAAAACATGGTCATGTACAGTTAGAACGAAAATCACTTTTTTTAAAACAGTTTCAAAAGTTACGTTACTGCGATGTGAAAAGACACAAAACACGCACAAAAAAATGGCGAAGATGCTTCGTGATTGATTAAAGGAGCTGCACGCACCGAAGTTTGTGGACAGTGAGCTAGCCGGCCGCTAATTGTTCCGAACAAACCGAGCGCTTCGGATGATCTCGAACTACCCGAAAACTTCCGAATAGCTCTCGAGCGATTTTTTTGCTTAAAGACACACTTTGGAGGAAAACCAAAATTTTTTCAATTTCCGATGCCATCGAGCATTCCGGATGTTGGATGCCGGACTAATGGACTTCTACTGTATTTTATTTGTTTACTTATTAAGACATTTCTTTCAACGCGTGCATGCGTAGCATACATTGCGCATAGTTGAATTAGAAAATTGCCACTAGAAAACTTTGATGGTATTCATGATCTTTATAATGACGAGAAATTGATTTAAATCATATCAAAGATGAGTACATTGAGATAAAATACTACATTTATAAGGAATTATAAGCCGATAAAATAAACATCTGCCCGAAGATAAGGATAGTGCTTACAGATTCACTGCCAGTTCATTGTGCGACGCGACGTTCCCCACCCTTTTGCAGAGCAGTGTGAAGTTGAAAACATATTTCGGAATGATTAGAGAATCAAAGGATCCTTATCCATTTTTGCAGCAATTCCGTTTTTTGTTTGTGGACTCGAAAATGCTTTCTCTTTGTAGATCCTTTGGTAGCTCCAGAATCAGAAATTCTTTTTGACATAATCGAAAGTTCAAGCTTTCTTTTATTAAATTGCTCTAACAGTCTGCAAAAAATAATAAGCTGGATCCAATTAGAAGATTAAGGAACAACGCAATTTGCAACATTAACTGAAATAGATAATTAGATAAATTTAGCTTAGTTTATACCATCCGTTATACATTAAATGCACATGCGTAAGCGTATTATGCACATGTGTAAAGTTATGCCTGCGTAACGCATGGCAAAAGTTGTAGCTTTGAGGTCCGGGTTATGGACGTCCGGATTAAAGACTTTTGACTGTAGTATTCGTCTGAGTGATCTTTTGTTATTGTTCGATAATTCTGAAATTCCTTATTTAGCTTGGATTTGAAGAAGAAAATAAAATATATTTCCTTAAACAAGAATTAGCAACATTTAACTTATTATTTCATCTATAATGTATTCAGATTTTATCTTTTCAATTCTTATGTTCTATTTATTGCCATTCTATTTTAAATTTAATTTAATTTTACATTAATTTCAAGATTTATTAAATTAAATATATTTTAGTGCTTGCTTTTGCTTCTGGCTGTTCTCTGGATGATCTTATGTATCTGGGTATGGTTGGTATTCTTGATCCTCCTCGGTCCGGTGTAGCTGAAGCTATTCAGACTTTAAGTGGAAGTGGTGTTTCTGTGAAAATGCTTACTGGGGATTCAGAAGATACTGCTTGTGCTATTGGTAAGTGATAATTTATAATGCAGTCTAACATCTAATCAGAATGTCCATAATCCGGACCTCAAAGCTGCAAACTTTCTGCACATGCTTAAATGCATAATGCGTAATACCTTTATGCATGCACATAATACATTTACACATGCACGTTTAATGTATAACGGACAGTATAAGCTAAGCTAAAATTATCTAATTATCTATTTCAGTTAATGTTGCAGATTGCATGTTCCTTAATCTTCTATTGGACCGGATTATATTTTTTTAAGACTGTTAGAGCAATTTTATAAAAGTAAGCTTGAACTTTCGATTATGTCAAAAAGAATTTCTGATTCTGGAGCTGTCAAAGGATCTACAAAGCGAAAGGATGTTTTGATGTCCATCAAACAAAAAATGGAATTGCTGCCAAAAAAAATGGATAAGCATATCCTTTGTTTCTCTAACCATTTCGAAATCTGTTTATCAATTTCATGCTGCTCTGCGGGGAAGGGGGACGTCGCGGCACGCAATGAACTGGAAGTTGATCTTTCAGTACTATCCTTATCTTCGAGGCAGATGTTTCCATTTTATTCGGCTTATAATTCCTTACTAAATGTAGTTTCTCTGATGTACTCCGTCTTTGGTATGATTTAAATCAAATTTTTTGTCATTATAAATATCACGAATACACATCAAATACAAGTACTTTTCTGGTTGCAATTTTCTAATTTTTGTTGGAAAATATAGCTTATTTTAAACCTTTTACTGCATCATCTCTCCTCCTTGAAATGTTTATTTAGTTTAGTTCTTATTTTAATGTAATATAGTAGTTACTTCTACTTCTTTTTCTTGCTGCCACTGTTTGCATTGAGAACGGACTGTTTCAACCTAATAGAGATGCAAAAACGAAACGTGACGTTACGTCACCTGAAAAGCCGATTCGTACCGATAGCTGATTGGTTGCCGTGAGATGACGTCATTCCTACTTCTGCTATAAGTATCTTGCGTCGCTCTGGCTCAACCCTTCTAGTTCCTGCTTTCCTGGCACTTGAGTGAGCGGTTTCCAGCCCTTTCAGAAGGATGCATGCAGTCTGGTGATTAAAGTTCCTTGGTTCTCGTTTGGGGGGGGGGCTGTTCCTGAATAAAGTTCCTTGGTGCCTGTCCGCGGGATGATTGTTTCGGAATGAGTTCCTTGGTTTACATCCATAAGATGATTGTTCCAGAATAAAGTTCCTTGGTTCCAGAGGCTACCATATGAGTGACTGCTGTCGGCAGCATCCATGTTCTTCAATGAAGGCGGCAATTAAAACACGTGAGCGGCGATTCCTCGTGCAGACGGAGTTAGGCCGGTTTTAAGTGCTTTCAAGAACTTGATTTAAATTTCAGTTGTTTTTCTTAGCCATTGATTATGGACTTATTGAATGTGTAGCCAGCTTCATTTTTAGGCCGCATAATTACTGTTTAGGACATTTTTGTTTGTATAGAATGCCAGTGTTTTGGAGACCAGGTAAAAATATTATTTGATGAATGATGGTTATATTATATTTTTCCTAAGACTCTGATATTGTTTAAATTTATTTTCTGTGTTTTTATTCTTATTATATTGTTAATAAATTGGTTAAGTTCAAAATCTTTTATTGTCTTCAATGTCTGCACAAATATCTCAGGGAGCTTTTATTGCTACTACTGCTAAATGTTTAATTTCTTTAAAACTTTAAACTTTGCTTTAGCATCATTTTGGTTATGGGCCACCAGCCCCTGAGTTATTTTTAGTGCAGACTTTTGAAGTTTAAAGTTAATTTAGGACTTAAGAGATTGGGGGGGGGGCGGTTTTTTGTTAAAATTCAAATATGGCTACTGTTAGTGTCATGCATAATATTGCTAAACTTGAGGCATGTAATTACTTTACATGGTCCAAAGATATGAAGTTTGTCTTGAATGAAAAAAATGCATGGCTTTTGGTTAAAGGTATTGAAAAATGTCCTGATTTAAATGATGTTAAGGGTATTTATTACAAAAGAAATTATAGCCGACTATCAAAATAGAAGTCGATTGGCATTATCGTTAATTTATATGAATGTAAGCCCTGAATATAGAAACTTGATATGTGAAATTGATGACCCGGGGTAGTGGCATGGAATACGCTTGCCAAATACTTTCCAGCCAGATTATCGGTCCAAGACTATGTCCCTGTTTTCAGAGTTCTTAAATTGTAAAATTAAGCCAAATGAAAAGTATTAGTTTCTTTTCTCTAGATTAAAACGCTGAACATTAGCTGATTAATCAGGCTGTAAGAGACGTATATATATGTTTCCAGTTTCTTAGGTTCCTTCCAGATAAATTTGATCAAGTAGTTCAGAATATTTTTGAGGTGGCCAGATGAAAAAGTTCATTTTTTAAAAATGTTGAACTTGAAATACTAGCAGAAGGAAACGCGTCTTAACTTTAAGAGAGATAGATAGGGAAAACTCCAATAAGACTATAGAAGTTCAAAGTACTCACTGTGAACCCAAATTTAAGCAGATTAAAGGGCTCAAGTGTTATAAATGTGGCCGTCCAGGTCATATTCAAAAAATACTGTAGAATGAGAGGTAATTTTTCCAGATCACCCTTCACCTGCTTCTTCTGTTTCCTCAGCTGTATCTAGTAGTAATAAAAAACATCTCCTAAGTGTAAGAATAAACCCAAGTTGAGTAAAGGTAAAAATAATTCCCATGCTCAGTCCCATTTTATAGCTCAAGCTAATGTTAACAATTTGGAAGAAAATGATGATAGTTGGATTTTTGATACGGCTGCATCTCATCATTTTTGTAAAAATCGTGAATTGTTTGATACTTTTTCTCCTGTGAAAAAATGAGAATATGCTAGTAGCTATTGATGGGGTAAACTTTTCCAATTCATGGGAAGGGTACTGTTAAATGAATGAAATTTGGGGATACGGTTATTTTGCTTAAAGATGTGTTATACTCACCTGAACTGAGACGACGAAATTTAATATCTGGGACCTAGAGTAGATATCAATGGAGCAAGATTTTATGGTAAAAATGGGAAAATTAAAGTTACTGATGATGAAAATGAAACTTTGTACAAGGCTAAGTTGATAGGAAGTAACTATCATGTGTTCCTGAAAATAGTCAAAAAGGGGGGCAAATCTGTAAAATTTGAGGCATCCACAGTTCAGCATAATAATAGTGAATTATGGCATGGTCGGTTTGGTCATATAAATTATGATACTATTGTCAGGACTAGTAAGAGACATTCAGTTCGAGGTCTTCCTGTGTTAAAGCACTCACCTAATTTGTTTTGTGAACATTGCCAAATCAATAAGCAAAGACGAATCTCCTATAGACCCTTAGAAGGTATTCAAGTAAAGAGGCCGCTTGAAAGGGTTTTTTCTGATGTATGGGGACCTATTAACATTCCAGGTAGGAATGGTGAACGTTATTTCGTTTCCTTTATTGACGAATATTCTCGTTATGTGGTAGTGTACCCCATTGTGGAGAAAAAGTCAGGTGTTTGAAGTATTTGAAAGGCATATAGCACGTGCGGAAAGATCTTTGAACCTTAGGTTGATTGAAATACTTTAGGACTGACAATGGGCGAGAGAATATGATAATGATCAATTCAGGTCATATTGTAATAAAAATGGTGTGTTGTAAAGCACGAATTTACAGATGTCTACACTCCAGAACAGAATGGAGTTTGTGAGAGATTTAATCAGACAGCTCTCAATAATGTACGTGCAATCTTACACGATAGTGGAATGAGTTCCGAATTTTGGTCAGATGCAGTAACGTATTTTGCATATTCATTTAATAGAATTTGTCATAAGGGCCAAGATAGAACCCCATTCGAATTATACACTAAGCGGAAAAACCATCAGTACGTCATCTTAAGGCATTTGGAACGATTGCCTATGTGGGAATTCCAAAGGCTAAAAGAAATTCTAAACTTGATCCAAAGGCAACGAAGGGCCGATGATGATTGGGTACAGTGTACGAACAAAAGGGTACAAGATTTGGTTGGAAAATGAGCAAAAGGTAGTAGAAACCCTAAATGCTACTTTTAAAGAGTCAATTGGAATGCAGAAAAAGAAAAGTGGCAGTGGAGAGTGGAGCTGTACTGGGCACCCTTCCTGATTTGGAATCTGAAGAAAGGGTAGAGTTCCAATCTAATGATACTCCAGTTGGCTATTTTCCTGAAATAGAGGAAAGAACCGATACCAATGTACCTTCTTCTACAATTGGCACTGACACTCAATCTACATTGAGACAAGTAACTTGGCTTCGTAAACCTGTTCCAAGGCCAGACGGCACTCGTACGGATGTGTATTATTTTGAGAGGGGGTCTAATCAAAGACTACGATCACCAAATGATGTAGAAAGGTATTGCACTGAACATAATATTCAGTATGATCCTACCTTGTTTGATTTCAAGGGAAGCAATACTTATAGTGGTGAAATCGACCCAACTGGTACTCCTTCAACGTCAGTATACCCGAGATAGCTGACTAGATGTTTCAATTCCAAACACTTATAACCAGGCAATGAAAATCCACAGAAAAGCTTAAATGGATAGAGGCAATGGAAGAGGAAATGGCCAACATGCGAAAGCATAAGGTATGGCATCTTGTTCCACTTCCTAAAGACAAGACTCCACTAGGTTGCAGGTGGATTTTCAACATTAAACGTGACGAATTTGGAAACATTATTCGTTTTAAAGCTCATTTAGTGGCTCAGGGTTATCGGCAAATTAAATACGATACCTATGATGAAACCTACTCTCCTGTAGTCAACTTTTCAGTAATAAGGCTCTTTTTCTCCCTTTTAGTTGCACACCTTGGATGGGCAAATATACAATGCGACGTGAAAAGTGCCTATCTCTACGCTCCTTTATCAGAGGAAATTTACATGTCCCAACCTCAGGGTTTTGTGGAGCGAGATAAAGAAACTTGTGTGTCGTTTAGATAGAGCCTTGTATGGTTTGCATCAGAGTGGGCGATTATGGTACTATGAGTTGGATAGAACACT